GTTCCTCCCTCCTGATTCTTCTTCGACATCCTTTATTATCCTCCTCTGCCTTTCGCCCCGTCTGCATCCAGTCTTCCTCCGTCGTCCTGTTCTCCTCATGCTCCGCATCCTCCTCCTCCTCCTCCTCCGCCTCCTCCTCCTCCTCCTCCGCCTCCTCCTCATCCTCCACATATTCCTCCGCCCTCCTCCTCCTCCTCCTCCTCCTCCTCCTCCTCCTCCTCCTCCTCCTCCTCCTCCGCATCTCCCTCCTCATCCTTCTCATCATCCTCGACTGCCGCGCCAATTCATAATCCATCGCCTGCGCAATATCATCCTCATCCACCTCATCCGCCGCATCTTCAGCCGCCTCCTCCTCTTCCTCCTCCTCTTCCTCCGCCTCCTCCGGCTCCCCATCTTAACCGTCCTCATCAGCATCGTCAGCATCAGCACCATCAACATCTTCAACTCCGTCTTTATCCTCTTCTTCATCATCATCAGCATCATCAGCAGCATCATCGGCATCATCATTCATCATCATCATCATCATCATCATCATCATCATCATCATCATCATCATCATCATCATCATCATCATCATCATCATCATTATCATCATCATCATCACCATCATCATCATCATCATCATCAGCATCACCATCATCATCATCATCAGTATCATCATCATCATCATCAGATCATATCATCATCGTCATCACCATCAGCATCATCATCATCATTTCCATCATCATCATCATCATCATCATCATCATCATCATCAGCAGCAGCATCTTCATAAGCATCCTCATCAGCCGCACCATCATCGTCATCGTCATCATATCATCGTCATCATATCATCATCATCAGCATCATCATCAGCAGCATCATCACCATGATTATCAGCGTCATCTTCATCAACATCATCAGCAGCAGCATCATCATCACAATCATCACAATCGTCAACATTCCCACCATCATCCTCATCCTCATCATCATCATCATAATCGAGGTCAGCATCATCATCAACATCAGCATCCTCATCATAATCGAGGTCAGCCTCATCATCAACATCAGCATCCTCATCATCATACACACCACCATCAACCTCAGCAGTATCATATCCTCATGATCACCATCGGCATCATATATGCCCACCACCATCACCACCACCATCGGCATCATCAGAGGCATCATACTCATAATCATCGTCATCATCATCAGCATCATCATCCTCATCGTCATCCTCATGAATATCATCATCGTCCTCATCATCATCGCCATCGTCATCACAGTCATCCTCATCATTGTTAGTACCATGGTCACCTTCATCATCATCATCATCATCATCATCATCATCATCATCGTCATCATCACCACCATCATCATCATCATCAACCTCATCATCATCAGCAGCATCAGCATCAGAAACATCATCATCAGCATCATCCTTAGCAGCATCCCCATGCTCCTCAGCCGCCGCAGCAGCTGCGTCAGCATCATCATAATCCGCATCATCATCAGCATCATCATCAGCATCATCATCCTCATCCTCATCGTCATCATCATCATCCTCATCCTCATCATCATAATCAGAATCAGCATCCTCGTCATCAGCAGCAGCATCATCAGCAGCAACATCAGCATCGTCACCATCATCGCCATCAGCAGCGACAGCATCATCATCCTCCGTCTCATTCTCATCCTCCTCGGTCTCCTTCCCTCCCGTTTCTCCATCCTCGTCATCATCCCCCTCGTGCTCGTTCCCCCAGTTCCTCGTCGTCCTCCCTAGCATTCGCATACACATCCTCCTCCACCCCATCATCCTCCTCTGCTGCATCGTCATCAGCAGCCCCATCATCAGCATATGTGTCATCCGCATCATCATCGTCATCATCACCACCATCATCAGCATCATCGTCATCAGCAGCAGTTGCTGTCAGCACAATCATCATTAACAACCGCACCATCATCAGCATCATCATCGTCGTCATCACCAGCATCATCATCGGCATCGTCATCATCATCATCATCATCATCATCAGCATCAGCATCATCATCATCATCATCATCATCATCATCATCATCATCATCACCATCATCATCATCATCGTCGTCGTCGTCGTCGTCGTCAGCATCATCAGCAGCATCACCATGTCATCGTCAGCATCGGCACCGTCGTCGACTTCGTCATCATCGCCATCGACAACGTCATCTGTCTCCCCCCCCCATCGGATGAGAAGGAGACGGCTGGCGATTGATCGGATCGGAGCGAATGGAAGCGCGGGGCGCGGATGCGGAAGATGAGGCTCATCTCCCTCCGCATCCACGTCCCGCGCCTCCATCCCGCTCGTCCTGCGCGGTCTTCCGCTTACGCAGCATCCCCCTCAGCATTATCGACACCGTCAGCAGCGACACCATCGCCATCGCCATCATCATAATCCTAATCAGCATCCTCATCATCAGCAGCACCACCCATATTATAATCAGCAACATCATCATCATCATCAACAACACCATCATCATCATCATCATCATCATCATCATCATCATCATCATCATCATCATCATCATCATCGTCATCGTCAACATCATGAGCATCATCATCATCATCATCAGCATCATCATCACCATCATCAGCATCATCATCATCATGAATACCATCATCAGCATCATCAGCAGCAGCAGCGACTGCAGCGTCAGCGTCGTCATCATCCGCATCTTCCTCAGCAGCCCCATCCTCCCTTTCCCTCCTGATCAATGGTCCCCCTCGCCCGCGTCATCCTCACCAGCAGCATCAGCAGCAGCATCATCAGCGTCGGTCTACTCCTCCTCGCCTCATCTGTCTCCTCCTCCCCCTCATGATCATCTGCCGAAGCATCATCCGCAACGTTACCCTCGTCACCAGCAGCAGCAGCATCATCAACAGCAGCAGCATTATCATAATCAGAATCATCATCATCAGCATCGTCAGCATCATCAGCATCATCAGCCTCATCATCATCAGCATCATCATCAGTAGCATCAATATCATCATCGTCGTTGTCGGCGGCGACGTCGTCGTCGGAATCATCAGCATCACCAGCAGCATCGTCATGTTGATCATCTGCACCATCAGCACAGCCGCAATGATTAGCAGCATCATCCTCAACAACAGCAGCAGCATCTGCCTCGTCAGTAGCAGTAGCACAATTGTCATGATCAGCATCATGAACATCATCATCACCATCATCAGCATCATCATCGTCGAAAACATCATCATCAGCATCAGCATGATCAACAGCGCCATCGCCATCACAATCATGATCACCATCATCATCCCCATCATCCTCTTCCTGCTACTCCTCATCATCATCATCATCATCATCATCAGCATCATCATCATCATCATCATCAGCATCATCATCCGCATCATCGTCAGCATCACCACTGTCATCACCATCACCATCACCATCACCATCACCATCCTAATCCGCCCCTCTCGTCATTCTCTCGCGTTCTTCCTCCTCCCCATCCACCTCCTCCTCCTCCTCCTCCTCCCAATCCTGCTCCCCCTCCTCCTCCTCATCATCCTACTTCTTCTCCTCGTCCTCCTCATCCACCTCGTCCTTCTCGTCCTCCTCCTCATCCTCCTCTTCCTCCTCCTCCTCCGCCTCATCCTCCTCGTCAAAATCATCATCAGCATCATCATCATCATCAACATCATCATCATCATCATCATCATCAGCATCATCATCATCATCATCATCATCATCATCATCATCATCCGCATTAACATCATTCTCATCATCATCAGCATCATCAACATCAGCATCATCAGAATAATCAGCATCATCAACGGCATCATCCGCATCACCAGCATCGTCATCAGCATCAGCATCAGCATCAGCATCAGCACCATCATCAGCAGCAGCATCACCAGCAGCATCACCAACATCAGCATCTGCATCATCAGCATCACCATCAGCAGCAGCATCATCAGCATCATCAGCATCATCAACAGCAGCAGCATCATCATCATCACCAGCAGCATCATAAGCAGCATCAGCATCGTCATCACCATCACCATCATGATCATCACCCTCATCATCATCATCATCATCAGCAGCAGCAGCATCACCATCAGCATCACCAACAGCATCATCTTCATCATCACCACCATGAACAACAGCAGCATCATCATCCGCATCATCATCATCATCAACATCAGCATCATCAGCAGCATCATCCGTATCAGCACCAGCAGCATCATAAGCATCATCATGATCGTCAGCATCCTCGTCAGCATCAACTTCAACATCATGAACAGCATCAGCATCATCATAATCATCATCATCATCATCATCATCATCGTCATCACAATCGTCATCATCAGCAGCAGCATCATAGTCATCATCATCATCCGCAGTATCATCATCATAATCATCATCAGCATCATCATCAACATCAGAACCCCTATCAACATCGTCAGCATCATCAGCATTACCATCAGCAGCATCATCGTCAGCAGCATCAGCATCATCATCAGCAGCTTCATCAGCATCATCACCATCATCAGCAGCATCAGCATCATCATCGCCAGCATCCTAATCATCATCATCAGCATCAGCAACAGCATCATCATCGTCATCATCGGCATCAACATCATCATCACCAGCATCACTAGTATCAGTATCTTCATCGCCATCAGCATAAGCAGCATCATCATCAACAGCGTCATCATCATCATCTTCACTACCTATATCATCAGCATCATCACCATCATAAACAACAACATCATCCGTGTTGCACCTCAATACTGTCCTCCTCATCCTCCTGATCCGTGCTGTTTCTCTTGTTTCTCCTCCTCCTCCTGCTGCTGCTCATCCTCCGCCTCTTGCTCTTCCTTCTCCTTCTCCTGCTCCTCCTCCTCCTCGTCCTCCTCCTCCTCCTCTTCCTCCTCCTCATAGTCATCATCATTATCCTCCTCCTCCTTGCTCCTCCGTTCCCCCCTGTTCCTCAGACGGCGTGTTCCCTAAGGTAGTGGCACGTGACGAGCGCGAAAAGGTTGAGGAGCAAGAACCCAACGTAGAACCGGCTGAACTTAGCCCGCCTCTGGCTCCCATAAATGGAGGGAACGGGGGGTAGCAGGACAAGAGGCCGAGGGGAGGCGAGGATGAGGAAAGGAGGGGAGGCGGGGAGGGGGGGATGAGAGGAGAGGAGGGGGGGGAGGGGAGGAGGGAGGAGGAAAGGAGGGGAGGAGGACGGAGAGAGGGAGGGAGGCAGGGATGCGGAGGAGGAGGGCAGGGGAGGAGGACGAGGAATAGGAAGAGGAGGAGGAAGGGAAGGGGGAGAATGGGAGGAGGGAGGAGCAGAGAGGGAAGAAGGGTGCGGCCGCGTGCCTTATCGCGAGCCCCCTCCTGGTGTGAGAACGGTGTTCCCAAGTCCCCTCCCCGTGGGTCCCGAGATGTGCTCTTGGTTAACTATACAACCCGCCTCCTCCCTCTCCTTCTCCTCCTCCTCCTCCTCCTGCTCCTCCTCCTCCTCCTCCTCCTCCCTCCTCCTCCTTCTCCTCCTCCTCCTCCTCTTCCTCCTCCTCCTCTTCCTCCTCCTCCTCCTCCTCCTCCTCTTCCTCCTCCTCCTCCTCCTCCTCCTCCTCCTCCTCATCCTCCTCCTCCTCCTCCTCGTGAGAATGGTGCTCCCAAGTCCCCTCCGCGTGGGTCACGAGATGTGTTCTTGGTTTACGATACGCTCCGCTTCTAAGAAGGAACGGACCTGAATCCTTACAGGTGTCAAACTTGCACAGGTGCAGGGGCATCACGTTCAGGCAAGCGCAAGGCCAAGGGCCCACGTTGAAAAGGAACCGCCCTGGAGGCACGCACCTGCTGTACAACACGTGCAGACGCTGGGTAAACGGGCGAGACTGCATACCGACAGGAAGCCCAAACTCTCTAGAGGGCCCTCCCTCCGCGCAGTTGCTGCCCCGTCGCGTCTCCTCGGGCCACAGGAGTGCGAGGGGGCCCAAGGCGACAGGTCCGTTGTGCCAGGGAGCCGTCCTGCACAGGGCGTAATCCCACCTGCCCTTTAGGGCGTGAGTGGTTAAGCAAGTTTCTTCTTCCATCGTCCCCCTTCCCCTTCGGGGAGGAGTTGATCACTGTTCCCTATTAATAAACACCCCCTCCCCCAGGCGACTGGTAGCCAGCCCAGAACCATGCGGGCAACCCCCCGCCATCCCTTGCAAAAAAAACCATACAAAACACACTCTGCCTCCAAATTCGGAGCATGCGCAGCCAACCCGATGCGGCCTCCCCCCACCATCCCTGTCAAAAACAATACAGAGTACACTTGGCGGCGGCGGCGGCGGTTGCGGCGGCTGCGGCGGCGCCGGCGGCGGCTGCGGCGGCTGCGGCGGCGGCGGAGGTGGTTGGCGGCGGCGGCGGCTGCGGCGGCTGCGGCGGCGGCGGCGGGCGGCGCGGCGGCGGCGGCGGCGACGGCGGAGGCGGCGGCGGCGGCGGCGGCGGCGCGGCGACGGCGGCGGCGGGCAGCGGCTGAGGCTCGGGTCAGACTCGGGTGCTACGTATGTGTTGGGAGGGCGGGTGGGAGTGAACGAGACGGCTTACGGGCGGGGAGGGGGTCTTGACCCCTCCCACTATCCCCCCCCCGGGGCTTGGAGGAGGGGGCGTTCCGCGAGGGGTTGGAGCGTCCGGGTTGGCCTCGGCGAGAAGGCCAACATTACCGATGGTACTAAGGTTCTGGCCCCAAATGTTGGCCTCCTGGAGGGAGATCCTGGGTAAGGGGCCCCCCTCCTTTGATCGATCTCTGCCAAGGTGGCCCCAAAATGGCCACCGAGGCTCCCAAGGGCACCCCAAGACGGCCCCAAGAGGTGCCCGGGAGGCCCCAAGAGGACCCCACGATGCCCCCAAGATGCCCCAAGAGGCCATTAAGAGACCCCCAAGAGACCCCCAGGAGGCTCCAAAAGGCCCCCCAGCCGGGGACAGTTTCGCCACCTATCTCGCACAGGCTTACGGCGTTGAGGATCTGATAGAGTGGCAACTGCTGCACAAAAGCGTGCAACTCAGCGTCTTCATCGACGATTTGGTACAGCAGTCGCAGAGCAACTTGATGCTGACCGTCTCGCAGCATCTGACAGATGCCGCAGTCGACCTCTGTGGCGTCATGGAACAATAGCTCCAGTGCAGCATAGCAGAGCACAAGTGCGTCGTCCTCGCCTCCTCTGGAAAACTACAATTTCAGGTTGCACAGGCGATGGGGACCAAAGGAGGACAACCAGCGGCCTCGGCTGCGAACATGGGCATAGACTACACTGCAGGTCGTCGTCGCAAGTTCTACCAGAACAGGCTCACGTTACCGGCAAGGTATGCAAAGCTTCGCAAGCGTATCTTCAGGATCTCCCGTCTGAGGGAAAGGGGTGCCACCATCAGCAAGCTGTATTCCAAAGGCCTCCAGCAAGCCGCTTACTCCAGGGTCGAGGTGGTGGGTGGGGATGGCAGAGAAACAATGGCGATCCGATTCACGTATTTGAAAGCATGTGGCCCACGATGCTCCACTTGATCTCGCTCCCTCATTCTCCTCCTCGTTAACGACACCGCTTGGCGGGCCGCTGTTGGCCGATGCGCGACTTGGGCCAAGATCGTGTGAAGAGCTGCCACCAGCGATTCGAGCAGACACACGCTGTCCCAGCTACGACAATTAGTCGACCCAACCCATGCCAAGCCTTACAAGCGGCGAACGGAGCCCAGGGGCCCTTGTGGCGCAGGCCTCTTGACCGTCCAGAAAATAGGAGGGAAGGCCATCAACGCTTTTGAGTTTCAGGATAAGGACGGTAGGGCCTACATCCTCACCTCCACCTCGCCCGCGCTCCTCTCCACCGCGCTCCACAAGAATGTGGAAGCACAGGCTGGCGCGTCTCAGCCGCTCTATCCGTCCTGCATTCCCCGCCCTGCTCCCCTCGCGTGAGCTCGATCCTTCTGGTTCGCATTTCCCAGATAGTTGGACCAAGAAAGGCCTGCAAGAAGCGGGTCACGACGTTGATCGGAAATGCCCTTCTGGGCACCCGCGTGATAGCCTGCATCATAAACAGATCGCATGCGTAATTACTCCCCGCTGCAGATCGCAATGACTGCTTGAGCTTCGAAGACATCGAAGCCTTGAATCGAACGGACTGGCCCCGTATGCAGGCAGGCCTCGGCGTCAAGTCGCAGTTGACCAGCTGCGGAATACTTGGCTGTACCCGCGGAAGCAGAATTCGGCGGAAGCGTCACGGCGTGAGCTGTCGCTTGCACTGGCACGTGCAAGCTGCACGAGCCAAGCCTTCCGCACAAGAGCTGCCATGCTGGAATCAGGCTGCTCGTTGCCCAGGCTGGCACAAAGACACTCAGCTTTTTCAAAGTCAAAGCCGCCCCGAGCTGTCGAGAACGCCGGCAGGGACTCCGACGAATCGAGACACGCGCCCCAGCAGCGCAGAGGCGGACGGACGGGCGAAACGGGCGGCCGATAAGCTCGCCCGCCCATCTGAGGACGAAGTGCAGCAGACCGAGAGCCGATTCGAGCTGCATGCAGCGCTTCCTTCGATCTGCTCGCGGGGTCTCGCCGAACGGGCCCCCTGCCGCCTCCGAGGCTGGAGGGGCAGGCCTCTGGCCAGACCGAACAGGTCAGATGCCTGCGCTGGTCGGCCGCCGTCCCGGGCTCCGGGCCCGTGCCTCCCCCTCCCCGTCGTCCTGCGTCGTCCGGGGGGTGCTGGCGGGGGCCCGCCTCCGCACGACTGGACTCGGAGCCGGGGCGGGTGGGCGTGCAAGCTGTGCCAAACCGGAGCCCTGGCAGAGCACTCTGAGATGTCAGGGCGTAAGGGAGAGGTGTGCGGGCACTTCCCCTTTTTACAACAGAAGCTCGCCAACGATGACCACGGCCACAGCCCTGTCGTAGCGGAGTTTGAATCAGGCGAGAATGTTATCATAGCGCGCCAGAAGTGCGAAGCCTATGCTGTTTCGAATGATCACAGTTTGTACCATGAGTGTCCTGCGCGATCCGCCGAACGACAGATTCGGGAAGCACGGTTTGCCCGGGAGCGGAATCGCAAGGGCAAGCAACCCAAGAGGGCAGCGATTAAACTACAGTACGGGCGCGGCCGCAAGAAACCCTGGCAAGAAACCCAACCCTGAGAACCCGCGCGCGAGGTGCACCTGAAGGGAAACCTGGAGCACCCTGAACGCAGCAGCTCCTTCAACGGCTGCGGGAAGTCACCGCGCAGCGCGAGGAGCGAAGAAACCCAGGATACCCTGACGAAAAGCAGATGGTTTCTTGATGCATGCCCCCTCTGTATCTCGGAATGAGCTCTCCTGCCGCCCTGCCCCCCGCCGCCGGTGCGGCCCGCGCGCGAGCCGCCTCTCTCGGGATGGGGCTGCGACGGACGGGCAGAGACTGCCAAGGGTGTGGGTTGGGTCGCGTCGGCCGACCCTCAAACTTCCCTTCTCTCCTGCTGCGTGCTGATCCTCCTGCTTCTCCTCCGATCCTTCCTCCATCCTCCCCCTCGTGGGATACGACGTTCTGCCCAGACCTTTACTCCACTGGATGACCATCCACGTCCCTGATCAGGGCAACTCGTCCGGGCATCGCTTCTGGACGGGCTGGTGGGGGTACACGAAGAGTCTAGAATCGCTGCAAGATTTCAGCATGAGTGTGCACGGCGCTGAGGCGAGAGCTACATGTGAAATCGGTCCATCTTCCTTTCGTGCACGTGTTGCAGACTTGTTCCACGAATGCGCGTGGTGGTACGACAAACGCCACAAAACTTGAGAACTACACAAATCCATCCACGCAGTCGCTGCAGTGGTTTAACACGAATGCGCGCGGCGCCAAGTCAAGCGCCGCTTGTTGAAAACCTCGCGCCCTCCACCCGTGTGGCTGGTGCGAATGTCAAGCTTCATGACCATGGAACGCGAGGCAGTCTACGCAGGGCAAAATGCACAAACCACCCTGGAGACGTCCAGCGGTGCGACGTGGACCAGTTGTCCTCACAAACAGGGGGTGAGGAAAGAGGAGAGAGCAACGAGGGAAGGGGGAGAGAGGGGACAGGAGACAGGAGGGAGGAGGGGA